TTGTATCAGATGCCCCTCGATTTTCAGTCTAATGATTTTAGAAAACAGATAGTGTCTTAGCCTAAACCAGTTCGGCTCAGTGGAAAGAGCATCAGCATGTGGACTGAGGGGTCCTGGGTTTGATTCTGCTCAAGGGCATGTACCTTAGTTGCAGGCACGTTCCCAGTGGGGGGTGTGCAGGAGGTGGCTAATCAATGTTTCTCATCGATATTTCTGACTCTTTATCCCTCTCCCTTCCTCTAAAAATCAATAAAATATAAAGATCGTGTCTTAGATATGGAAAAATATGGTAATACAACCAGTATAGGACAAATATAAGAACTAGAAGATCCAAGCCAAGTTTCAATTACCACGAAGGATCTGAAAATTTTTTTTCTAAAAAGTGTCTGTTAAGTCACAACAATATAGTCAAATGGAATGAATGAATTAATAATTCTCTGGCTATTCTGGTAAAATCAAGACCTTTTTTGTTTTCATCGTTATACTGAAAATATTCCTATATTTGTTCAATGCACACAATAAGTCATTTAAAGGGAAGGTAGTTTGTACCTACATATTTTGTACTTATCTATACAAAAACTTAATTTAGATAATTAGCATTCCTTTGAAGAAGTATAGACTTGCCTGATGTCATTCTGAATAGAATGCTCATGGTAGGTGTAAGAGAGTGAACTTAATCTTAGCAGAATTCAGTACTGTTATTTGTTTCTGTGTTTAACCCTAGGTGAAAGCAAATCTTTTTATTTTTCTGAAGACAGGAATTTTAAGGGAGGATCTTTTTCTTTTTTAAAAAGTTTTTGTTGCCGAAACCGGTTTGGCTCAGTGGATAGAGCTTCGGTCTGAGGACTGAAAGGTCCCAGGTTCAATTCCAGTCAAGGGCATGTACATTGGTTACGGGCACATCTCCAGTGGGGGGTGTGCAGGAGACAGCTGGTCGATGTTTCTCTCTCATCTATGTTTCTAGCTCTCTATCCCTAGCTCTCTATCCCTATCCCTTCCTCTTTGTTGAAAATTAATAAAATATATTGAAAAAATTTTTTGTTGTTAATCCTCACCTGAGGATATTTTTCCATTGATTTTTTTCTTTTTTTTTTTTTTAGAGTGGAAGGGAGGGGTAGAGACAGAGAGAAAGGTAGATGTGAGAGAGATACAATGATTGGTTGCCTCTGGAATGTGCCCTGAGGGGTCAGGGATTGAGCCTGCAACTGAGGTACATACCCTTAACCAGTATCAAAACCCTTCAATCTAAGAGCTGACACTGAGTCTCTCTACACTGAGTCTGACTGGCTAGGGCAAGCATATCTTTTTAAGCATTTGAGTGCTTACTCTAAGTATCGAATTCAGAAAAGGTATCCCAGCCAAGGAATATGCTTTCTGCCCTGTAGGAGTCATGTAATAAATTAATTTCTACATTTGGCTTTTTATTGTATGCCTAACTGCATTCTGGACCATTTAAGCTCCATCATTCCTAGGAAATGATACAAGTATTTAAAATAATATTTAAGGCACATCTTCCAAAACATTATAAATGTTACTTAAAAAAATCACCAAAAACAAACACCTGTCTTCTATTTATATTTTAATTTTTCTTTGCGTATAGTTCACCTGAAGTGGGAGATGACATTTTGGGGCATGGAGATAGCAAATAGGTAATGTTACAGTCTCCTGCTGTAGCAGATTCTCAACATGGAAGAAAGGTAGTGTGAAAAGGTAGTTTGAAGCTACCATTGTTACATTTTGTTTCAAGTTTTTAAATAACGCCAAAGGAGATCATACGGTTTATATTTATTAGAAGTGAGCTCATGACACTTCCTTCTCTGAAAGTGCTGGGTAACGATGTTGGGAGGAGTGCCGTTACCAACCATGGTCAGTGCCAGGATAAACATCCCAAAACCTTGAGCTGCGTGTGCGGCTACTTGAAAGTGCCAGTATTTATTGTCTTTGATGGGATGCAGTGGTCATTACAAGTAATACTTGGGCGTGGACTGAACAGCCACCCTTCCTCATTGGATGGGCCATTCAGGAATATTCTGCCCAACACCTTTGGACTTAGGTAGTAACCTGCCCTTTTTACAGTGGTGTGATGCCTCTTTTCCCAAATCTTGGAATTATGACCTCAGTTGGAGCCTACGTCCTGAAGGAAGTGGCTCAGATGGAGTCACTAGAGCCTGCGTTGTATTGGCATAGATTGGACCCTAGCAGCGTTGGAAGCAACTACCATTAGATGGCAGGCCAAGCTGGTTAGGGGAGTTGGTGTGGGGTGGCAGTGAATAGTGTCTTCCAATACCTGGAAGGCCTGAGTTGCCAATGAGTTCTCTGTGTTCACCCTTTCAGGAATTGGCCACAGGGGGGCAGCCTTACACAGGCTGTCAGAGCCCATAGGCATGAACAAGGTGTCTGTGGAAGGGGAAGGGAGAGAAAGTGAGAAAGAGAAGAAAGAAGAGAAGAGGAGGGGAAGACAGGGGAGGGAGGAGAGGGAAGGGGAAGAGAGGGGAGGAGAAGTGAAGGGGAAAGGAGGAGAGGGAGGGGAGTGGAGGGAGGGAAGGGAGGGGAGGGTACATACTCAGGGGAGGGACAGTGTGAGTGTTCCAAATGTCCATAGGAAAGGAGAGATGAATTTGGCATTTGAGACCACCTCTGCCTCTTCTAGAGACCAAGAGGTCTAGAAGCTAAACATGGTGTTTTTTGTTGTTGTTGTTTAAAAAAAAAATATGTATATATATATATATATATATATAATATTTTTATTGATTTTTTACAGAGAGGAAGAGAGAGGGACAGAGAGTTAGAATCATCGATGAGAGAGAAACATCGACCAGCCGCTTCCCACACACCTCCCACCAGGGATGTGGCCGCAACCAAGGTACATGCCCTTGACAGGAATCAAACCTGGGACTCCTCAGTCCGCAGGCCGATGCTCCATCCACTGAGCCAAACCAGTTTCGGCTAAAAACAGTTTTTAAGAGACGCATGGGGCTGAAGGGACAAAAATTAGAATTGAGGGCTGCAAGGAAAAATTATACACCTGAGGTTTTAATTTGAAATGCGAAAGAGTTCATCCAGATTCAAATTGAGGAAGCCGCCCATTGCCTTCAGTAGCAGAAAGGTGTGGACAAGGAACCCAGAAGGCTGGTCAACCTTGAAGCTTTGAAAGGTCAGAGCCAACCACCCACTGTTTAGTTGAGACAAAGGTAGCTAAAGCATCTCCACCTTTTAGTTTTATGCAAATTTTTGCAGGCTATACTGGAATTGCCTGCCTTGAGCTATGGGTGGATCCCATAGTCTTAATAAAAGGGGTCCCTAGGCAGGAGCAAAGGAAGTCCATTCCTTGAGCTGGGCTCCAGCCTGGCCCCCAATATTTCCAAATTAATATTTTCTAGTCTCTTTCATTTGCATGTAGCCTCTTCCAGAGCCCAAACTCTGAACCTGAACCCTGAACCATGCGGGATGTGAAAGGAGTTCACTAAAAATTGGAGCTCAAATGTGGGACACTACAAAGGACCTCAATCCCTTTTTGGATTAAAAGGGACTACAAGTGACTAATGTCTATCTGCTGGCAGGAGCAAAAGTAAGTTATCGAGGAGAGCAACATCGTCCAAGTCTTTGAACAGTCTACAGTCCGTCAAGGGTGATCTGTGGCTCATTTCAAAATAACCTGACTTGCCAGAAGACAGCATATGGACAAAAGCCAAGAGAAATGACCAAGGAAACAGGTGTATATGGGATCTGATGCTCTAAGCCAGGGGTCAGCAAACCATGGCCCACAGGCCAAATCCAGCCCTCCACCGGATTTGTAAATAAAAGTTTATTGAGTCACAGCCACACACATCCTTATGTGTATGTTTGTGGCTGCTTTTGTGCTGTTAACAGCCTGGTAACAGTGTAGGCTAAATAAGTATTATCCTAACTAATAAAAGAGTAATATGCAAAGAGACTGTACCTGTGCCACACCCACCAACCAATAAGGAACAAGCATGCAAATTAACCCAACCAAGATGGCTGCAGCCACAGAGTGAGTAGGAGGCTTGGGTTTCCCCCTTAATGTGTGACCAGGCTGGCAGGGGAGTTAGAGAGAGACAACCAAATGACCAAACAGCAGGCTGAGTGGGGCGACCAGGCTTGCAGGGGGAACACTTGGGGGTGACCAGGCTGGTGTGGGGCCAGTGAGGGGCAACCAGGTTGGCAGAGGGGGGTTAGTGAGGGATGACCAGGCCAGTGGCAGGGGGTGGGTGACAGGTAGGGGCAAAATCAGGCAGGCAGGCAGGTGAGCAGTTAGGAACCAGGTGTCCTGGATTGTGAGAGGGATATCCAACTGCCGGCTTAGGCCCGATCCTAGAATTGGGCCTAAGCCGGCAGTTGAACATCCCTGAGGGATCCCAGATTAGACAGGGTGTAGGCTGGGCTGAGGGGACCCTCCCATGCACGAATTCCATGCACCGGGCATCTAGTATTGTATAATGATATATTAAGTTATAATGTTTTTATTTAAAAGAAAGGGGTGCTCTTTAAGAATCGACCCAAAGGACAGTGGGCTACATATAGCCATCCCTGCAGAGATCTGTGCTTGAGTACTTGCTGAGCACTTATTGTGTTTTGTGGGATCTCAGGTAGAGACTTAAACTTTTTGAGCCTCAGCTGTGTCACCTGTAAAATAGGTATGAACACAGTTCCCGTCCCATAGGGCTGCGAGCATTAAGGGAGGTGAGTGTGTAACACTTTTAGCACAGTGCTGACACAGAGTACTTGCTCAATAAATACTAGCTGTTACCATTATTATCATCACCATGCGCGGGATAGGGTAAGGTTTCGCTTAATCTCATCCCAACTCGGAAGGATCTATCTCTAACACGGCGAACAGACAGCCCGTCTGTTTCTTCTTACTCTCCTATCCACCTTGCACTTTCTTTCCCTCCACCTCACCCCCGTCCTTCACACCGCCTCTCCCGGCCCCGCCCTCCCACGTGCTCCTCCCACCAGCCCTGCCCTGTGGCAGCTGGAGCTCAGCGTGGCAGGAAGCTCATGGTGTAGTTTTGAGGGATGGTGGCAAAGCCCACATGTTTCGGGGACACGTCGATATCCTTGGGTGACTGCGGGGACTTGAAGCGGAAGTTCTGCATGATGGTGGTGAGAAAGAGGAAGAGCTCCATTCTAGCCAGGCCTTCTCCAAAGCAGTACCGCTTTCCTGACAAGAAAAGGGCGGGAAGGGCGGAGGTGAGGCCTACTCTCATGGCCACCTCTTCCCTCTCTGGATCTCCAGCTGCATTCTCCTCAGGGAGGAGGGGACGGAATGCGTGGCCTGGAGGCTTTCAGAGAAGTCTCTCATCCTGTCTGAGCCTGTTTCCCTTGTCCATGGGATGGGGGTGAGCTACTGTAGGCTGTAGCAAAGGGAATTTTAGACGACCCTCCCCCTAAACACACACACACGGCTGCTGAGCGATCATCTCCTTAGGAGGCTGAGGAATTCAAGTGACCTTGGGCAAATCTCCGAGTCACTCTGGGACTTGATTTTTCCCATCTCTGAAGTAGGTACAATCACCCCTTTCCTTTTGCCTGAGCATTGGTAGGTGTTAGGTAAGAGGACTACAGTTGGTTGGCTGCAGGGTGGATAATAAGAGGGACTTCCAAGCTGGGGAAAGCTCCTAGGCTACATCTCAGAGAGGGGAGCTGGAAGGGAGGAGGCTCCTGTTGGTGTGACGGGTGGCTCGGCAGTAGACAGCGGTCTCTTACCAATGGAGAAGGGCACGAAAGCATCGTTCTTCTTGAACTGCCCTTCCTCATCTAGGAAGTGCTGCGGGTTGAAATCTCCAGGGTTGGAGAAGAACTTGGGGTCTTTTAGCACGGAGCCCAGCATTGGAAACACTTCAGTGCCCTGGTGAGGAGGAGGAAGGGTTGACAAAGGTGAAGGGCGAATGGGTAGGATGGGGTTAGAGGGGGAATCTGGGTGTTCTAGGTGAGGAGAAATGAGAGCCAGGGTCCTCTCTGAGGGAGGAGCTTTGAGGGATGTGGCATTTATGTCCCTGAGAGAGAAATTTTGGGGAGGAGGGGGTCTGTGTCTCCTGAAGTAGAAGCGTTGGGGTGCATGCAATTCATGTCTCTCAAGGCAGGACGTTTGGGGGACATGGGACTCATATTCCTCGAGGCAAGAGGTCTTGGGGAGTTATGGGTGGGTTAAAGGAACCCCTGTCTGAGTGGGAAGGTTGAAGGGACATGTGATGGGGGAAGTCTGCGGTTGAGGGAGGGGACAAGGGCTGGGAAGCTTCTAAGAAGGATGGGGTGCTGGGTCACAGGGTGCAGGTGGGAGGTCCCTCCAGGTTGGGCGAGGGCAGCACCTTAGGGAGGAGGAAGTTCCGAAATGTGGTGTCCTTGGTGACTCTGTGGGCCATGCCCATGGGGATCATGTTTCCGAATCTCTGGATCTCGTGGATCACCGCCTCTGTGTAGGGCATCTTGGCCCGGTCTTCGAACTTGGGCTGACGGTTTTTGCCAACCACCCGGTCAATCTCCTCGTGGACCTTGGCTGTGGGACAAGGGGGACTATGTTGAGGTACCTAGGGGTCTTGGGGCAGGAATGACAGCCCAGATATGTGCAACTGGATCGTTCCTATGATCATTCGAAACAGAGGTTGGCCATCAGCATTGGCGCAGGGTCCTGTTAACCTGGTGTGCCAGACTCACAGGGGAAGCTGCGAGGGAGGAGTCTTGGGGATGGCCTGGAGGGGCAGGTAGTGGGCACTGGGTAGAGCTATTTACCCATCGGTTCAGATGTTTTAGTTTGTTAACAGTGAATGATATGTGCCTGGTCCCTGTTAGCAAGTACCATCCCCTCTGGGTAGCAGGGTGTGTCTGAGGGTGCAGACATTTGAGAGAGATGGGGACACTGCAGCGGGCTCAGAGGAATGCTGAGGGTCCATGGCCCTCACTTCCCTGCCCCCCTCCTGCCTTACCCTCCACATCTGGGTGCTTCATGAGCAGCAGGAAGCCATAGCGCAGGGTCGTGCTGACGGTCTCGGTGCCCGCAAAGAAAAGGTTCAGCGTGGTCATTACCAGGTTCTTCAGGTGGAACTCTGTGTCAGGGTGCTTTTGCTCCTGCAGAGAGAGATGGCTTCAGGCCCAGCCCGCTCCCCCATGCTCTCAGGGCCCTCCTGGCGTTTTCCCTCTGGACCCACGTCTTATAGACCTGGACTAAAGTTGGGAAGAGGGACCCTCGTTCTGCCAGGCCTTTTCCCGGGCTGGTGGCTCTACCCAAAAATTCTTCGCACACCCCTTACCCAGCTGACTATCTGTTCTTTAATCACCTGCTTAGTTGTTGCTTTTTAATTATATAAATATTTAGAAGTTTCGGAATAGAGACAGGGAGCGAGAGAAGACCATTGTAGAATGCATCCAAGAGTGTTTGAGAGGACATTTTATGAGACACAGAATGGATTTTATTTATTTTATTTATTTTTTAAGAAGTCTTATTTTTTAAAATATATTTTATTGATTTTTTAATAGAGTGGAAGGGAGAGATATAGAGAGATAGAAACGTCGATGAGAGAGAAACATCGACCAGCTGCCTCTTGCACACTCCCTACTGGGGATGTGCCTGCAACTCAGGTACATGCCCTTGACTGGAATCAAACCTGGGATCTTGCAGTCAGCAGGCCGACGCTCTATCCACTGAGCGAAACCCGTTTCAGCAACACAGACCAGATTTTGTAACAACAGCATCCTACTCCTTCATTGAAAATCTTGAAGCTCACCATGGAGAATCCACTCCCTGATCCTTTCACCTTGAACTTGAGACTCCAGAAAGCCCATCCCGTTAGGAGGGGGGACCCTCCAATGTCACACAGTAAAGCCAGGTCACCTGTCCACACAGGTGTGTCTGATAACCAAGGAACGAAAGGTGCGCAATGGTGGCTAAAAGCACCAGCCTTGCAGTCTGAGAGACCAGAGCTGGAGCTAGGTTTCACTGCTTCCTCCCTGTGGCACCTCAGGCATGGCACTTGTTCTCTCTGGGCCTCAGTGTCCTCATTTGTAACTGGAGTCATAGTAGGACCTCCTCCAAGAGCTGGTGTGAGCCGAAACCGGTTTGGCTCAGTGGATAGAGCGTCGGCTTGGGGACTAAAAGGTCCCGGGTTTGATTCCGGTGAAGGGCATGTACCTTGGTTGCAGGCATATCCCCAGTAGGGGATGTGCGAGAGGCAGCTGATCGATGAATCTCTCATTGATATTTCTGACTCTGTATCTCTCTCCCTTCCTCTCTATACAAAATCAATTATATATATATATACATATATAAAGAGCTGGTGTGAGTGTCAAATAGGTGAATGCTGTGACGTTCTTAAAATGGTGCCTGGTGCACGGAGGCAGCACAGACGTGCTTTTGATGATGATTTGCACTCACGAGTCCTGCCCATGGGGAAAGGCTCAGTGGAGAGAACAGTGAATGATAATTGGGGTCCTGAGGGTTATGATTAGGGGGGCGTCATCTGAATGAGCCTCTGCTCTCCCCCGTCACCCTACCCCCCAAAGAAGACCAAAGCCGGATTCTCCTCTGCCAGGCTTTGGTCTTCTTTCAGCAGCTGCTGGCAGGTACCTCCTGCATGCGGATGAGGAAGGAGTCGATGAAGTCCCGCGGGGAGTTGGGATCCAGCGTACGTTGGTTCTGCTCCACCTTCTTGGCTATAAAGGCCTCCAGCCCCTGGAGTTCCTTATGCGCCTGCTGCTGTGGCCCCGGCAGGTGCTTCATCACCGAGGAGAACATCTCATAGAGCTGAGGGGGAGGACAGCGGTCAGCGGGCGTCACCTGAAGGGAGCGGGGCCTGTCTCCGGGCAAGGGTGGCACTGGTAAGGCCCCTGTCCGGGGTCTAGGTGTTTATTTATTTATAAATATATATGTTTTATTGATTTTTTTACAGAGAGGAAGGGAGAGGGATAGAGAGTTAGAAACATCGATGAGAGAGAATCATCAATCAGCTGCCTCTTGAATACTCCCTACTGAAGATGTGACCGTGACCAAGGTACATGCCCTTGACCGGACTCGAACCTGGGACCCTTGAGTCCGCAGGCCGATGCTCTATCCACTGAGCCAAACCAGCTGAGGCTGGGTGTCTAGGTATTTAGTTGGGGCTGGATGGAAACAGATGTCTAAGTTTTCATGTGAGATCAGCGTGCGGGCTCCTGTCTGAGGATTGAATAGTGGTGGGGTGGACTGAGACACCCCCCAGATGTCCTTCCTTCCCTTTCTTTTGTGGCGAGGGGACTGTCAGTTGAGATTCCAGGTATTGAGACTGGGTAGTGGGCACCTGTCCTGAGTTCCTGTTCACCTGTTCAGTTGTCCAAGGGAGACGGTGGTATTGGGGGGACCCTGGTCCGGAGGAGGACAGGGGCTGGGGCGCCTGTGTCCCAGGGAGCAGGCGGTGGCTGACTGTGCAGGGACGAGGTGGTGGTCAGTTACCTGCCCCGTGGACGTGGCTGTGAACTGGAAGCTTCCCTGCATCATGCTCAGCAGCGAAAGGAACTCTTTGTCCTCATAGTCAAAGCGGTCCCCAAAGACGATGGAGCTGATGACGTTGGAGACGGTTCGGCTCAGGAAGAAGGTGGGATCGATGGAGGCACCTGGGAGGACGGAAGGTAGGGGTTTGGGGGAGAATCAACTTGGATGCTGAGAGTCTGAGAATTCCAGCAACGTCTTCCCCAACCTGGTTCCCCTCCCAGGCCAAGTGCAGGTTCTCCTCCTCTGCTCTGGGGTGTGTGTGTGGGGGGGGGTGGGTTGTGGGGGTGGAGGTGGGGTGAGGGTGCGGGTACCCGGGCTCACCGCGTGTGCCCCGAATGGCCTCGAGGAGGAAGCCCGCCTCCTCCTGGATGCGCTCCTCGATGCCCCGCTTGCCCAGGCCGAAGTCCCGCAGCGTGCTGATGGAGAAGCGCCTGAGCTGCTTGGCGCGCTCCCCGGTGCTGAACACCACGCCTGGGGGGCAGGGGGGGGCGTGTAGGAGTGAGGAGTGGAGAGAGAGAGGGGGAGAGAGAGAGAGAACACTGTCAGAGAAATACAGAAAGAGATCAAGTTGGAAGAAAGTGAGAAGGAAAGAGGCAACACGAGTGTGCAGAGAAACAGGTGCAGAGACACGCACGTGAAGAGGAAGAGGCAGGAGGGAAGGAGGGGAAGTGAGAAGTGTGGGGATCTGGGAGGTGGGAGGAAAAACTGAGAAGGATTCTAAGACTGAGCTGGAGGAGGGAGAAAAATATACACAGAGAAACAGAGAGGGTCTGGAAGGGAGAAGAGCCTTTTACCGGGAGGTAGTGGGAGAAATGGGGATTTTGCTTCAGAAATAATGTGAGCTTCTAAGACAAAGGAAAAAGAGAGGCCAGGAGAGGGAGAGAGAGACACGGGGAGGCACCACAGCTGAGAAGGAGAAGACGACAAAAGGGCCCATGGAGACAGAGGACCAGGTTTCCAACACAAAACCCCAAGAGCTTCTAAGAGAAAGAAAGAGATACCCAGTGAGAGAGCTGGGCGATAGGGCGGAGAGAAGCAGGGAGACGCAGACACGCTAAGACACATTAGAGAGGACACGGGGATGCACAGGAGGGGACAGAGGCCGGGCTCTGCCACAGCCTGGGGTGGGCAGGTACGTTGGGAGAAGAATGCTGGGAAACGGAGGCCATCAAGTCTGCTGGACCACACCCCCCACCCAGAGTCCCCCTCACCATAGCCTTTGAAGAGCCTGTCAAAGGTCGCCTGCTCGCCTCGCCCACTGAATTCCTCAGCCTGGTCCACCAGAGCCTCCTTCACAGCCTCCTGTCCGCACAGCACCACGACGCTCCGCGTGCCCAGGCGGACGGTGAACACTGGGCCGTAGCGCTCGCTGAGCTGAGGGGGAGGCGCAGGACTGTGAGAGGGGGCCTCAGAGTCTGGGACACATTTCACCCAAGTTCTGACAGTCAAGGAACTGGACATCCCAAGTTCTGGTCTTTCCTGGCTAGAACCCCCGCACTAACCCTTCAGAAGTCCCCCTTCTCGCCCTGGCTGGTGAGGCTCGGTTGCTTGAGCATCATCCTATGCACCGAGGGGTCACCAGCTTGATTCCCTGATTCCAGGTCAGGGCACATGCTCAGGTTTTGGACTCCAATGATGTTTTTCTCTCTTCCTCTCTCTCCCTTCCTCTCTCTCTCTGGATTCAATATAAACATATATTTTAAAAAATACAACCTCCTCCATCCTAAGAGCTCAGTCCAACCTTGCCAATCCCCTGCCACAAAGTCTCAGCCAGACCGGGCTGGCCTCCAGCCCCACCCTGACACCCCCCTCCCTGCCTGGCGACACCTTCATGAGGGAGTTGTACATCTGCTCTGTGTTCAGCTGCAAGTAGTTCCCGATGAAGGGCAGTGCTGGGGGGCCAGGAGGCATCTTTCCCAACAGCTTCCTTTGCCGCCACACAGTCGTCAAGACCATTACTGTCAGGCAGGACAGCAGAGCCGCCAGAAGCAGCCCCGAGGCCAGCATGACGGCAGGGAGAGTGAGAGTCACATGGTGATGGCTGGGGTGGCTTGTCTTTATACCACTTGGGAGAGAAGGCAGCCTTTGGTCCTGATTATGTAACTGTCTCATTTCACCTCCCCGTTACACCTCCCGCCATGTTCCCGCCTAGCTTGGGAGGCAGCCAGCAATGGAGGAGGGAGGGACTCCAGGGGAGGCAGCCAGCAATGGAGGAGGGAGGGACTCCAGGGGAGGCAGCCAGCAATGGAGGAGGGAGGGACTCCAGGGGAGGCAGCCAGCAATGGAGGAGGGAGGGACTCCAGGGGAGGCAGCCAGCAATGGAGGAGGGAGGGACTCCAGGGCAAGTTAACAAGTCTGAGTGTGTGGCTTCCCCTTTACAGCCTCCTGTCCACACAGCACCACGACCCTCCGAGTGCCCAGGGGGACGGTGAACGCTGGACAAGGGCTGTGGACTTGGGGGCTCGGGGGATAGCAGACACATTTCAGAGCTGAAGATTCTGGAATACTTGCATGTGTGAGCCCCTGAGCATGGGGTTTGGGGCCTCGGAGTGGGAAAGAACACCGAAGTTGTGGAGTTTGGGGTCTTGGGAGAGAAGAATGAAAGAGTTAAGGGTATTGGAATAAGACAGAAGACCTGGCTGTGCATTTGGGGATCTTCTGCTGAGGAGGGATGTATGGTAGGTTTAACGGTCTCAGGATTGGAGATGCCAGAGGATGGATTTGAAGGCCTGGAGGTGAGACCTACATATGAGGAGTCCAGCTGGGTCATGGAGTCAGCTCCTGACCCAGATGCTGACCTGCTTTTGTTTTGGACATAATACCGATTCTTGATGCCCAGAATCCTCATTGGAACCTCAGAGCAGAGTCAGGATGGCATGCCACAGGACCGCCCTTCTCTAGCTGGGAAAGGGAGAGACAGCCAGAGCCACAGTCCAGTGGAAATTTCCACAGAACTGGAGAAGAACAACTCATGGTCTTGGCTGGCAGAGGACTGGGCCAGGACTTGAGAAATAGTAAAGACGACTGCACTATGGTAAAAAAACAAAACAAAACAAAACAAAACAAAAAACCCAACTGTCGGAAGGGTTATAATTTACAGAGCCACAGTGACTCCCTGCCCAGATCCTTAGGGAAACCCACCAAGTTGATTTATCATTTCTGTTATTATTATTATTATTATTATTATTATTAATGTATTAATGCTTCCCATTTTATAGAGGCTAAGATGAGAGCAGAAAACAGAGTGGGCAGGGGGCACATATGTCTCTCCTGCTCTCCACTTTTACTCCCCCTTCTGGGATTGCGTTGCCAGCAGTGGAAAGGTTATACTTGAGGGTGTGTGTATTTTAGGGGTGATTCCTGGCTCAGCAGAGCTGCTATTAGCAGGCAGAGGGAACCATAACAGGAGAGATTTGGGTAAGCGTCAGTGCTGGGAACCGAGGGGGCCCTGGGATGCTGAGGGGGGAGAAGAGAAAACATGAGTGACTCTGCTGTTCTTTCCTCACGGCGTTCTTTCTCAATAAGGACAGTCTCCCCTTGGTGAGCATGGATTGTGGAGCTTGGGTCTGTGTGCAGGTCTCATGGAATCTGTATAAGAATGGGCTGGGTCATTACTGTTCTTACTTTGCAAGACTCCATAAAGCTACTTGCCGGAAGTCACAGGTAACAAGGGAGGAAACTGGGCTTTGAATCTTCTCTCCTGCTTTCTGCACTGACTGGCCTGGCGACCCCCTGGTGGCCACGTGGAGACAAGGTTAGCAGCAGGTGGGTGCTGAGGTTGGCATCAGCGTTGGCAGGTTCTGCTGGTGGCATCAGGGAGCCCTGGGACAGAGGGCCGTCACATTGGCATTGAGCTTGTTTGCAGGTAGACACTAGGATGGAAAAGAAGTTGACACTGAACTTGAAGCCAGGAGAGCAGTGGCAGAGCACTGCTGGTGTCAAGAGGGGCATTGAGGCTGGTGTCAGAGGCATCAGGGGGGCACCGTGTGGGCTCTGAGGTGGATCCCAGCAGTGCCAGGGCTTGGGTGGGGCACCCAGGCAGAGGGGTCATAGCCAGAACGGAGGTCCTAGGGAGCTGTAGGAGCCCAGAAATGGCACCGGCACTTTGTAGGTTCAGGGTGAGCCCCTATAGGGCTGAGAAGGGCTTTCCTTGGGAGGAGAGGGAGAGTTGTGAGGGGAAATGCAGGCAGAGGAATAAGCTTGTAAAAAGGTGAGAGTCCCAAAGAGTAGGGTTGGGTGCTCCTAGATGCAGAGACCTGGGGCTGTGATCACCCATGAACCTGGAGCCATCAGCAGGAGTCAGGCCAGATGGAGCCTCATGCAGCTTGTTGGGGAGTTTGGATTCTGTGTAGAAGCAAAAAGAATCAACTATTTTCACTTTGAAAAAAAAAACAAAAAAAAAAACAGAGTTTATGGCGCCTTATTGAATGTTCTGTTAACACTGCCCTTGCTTTCCATTCCACTCTATGGCCTGTACCATGGAGCTAGAGCTGGCTCTGCCTGGTTTGGGCCACTGTTCAGTGGCCTCCTTTGTATGTGCCCCGTGACCCGCGTCTCCTCTCTCATTGGGGCGTGGGACTCGCCAAGCCCACCGCACAGACGTGGGTGTGTTTTCTGTGCCTTTGGAGGAATGAGCCCGGCTTCTCTGCAGACAAGCGAGTGGCCCGGTTTCTGCTGTTGTGACCCGCAGGGCTGCACGTGTGCATGCCTCCCGGCTCTCCGTGCACAGGGTTCCTGGGGGCGCACAGCTGGACTGCCACCGTGGATCCCACTCTGCGGGGACTGTCCCGCCAGCGGTGCGTGAGAGCACCCACCCGTGGCCACACGCAGCAGTATCTCCTGGCGAGGGTGACCAGGCGCTGGCTGGCACCTATGGTTCCTGCCGGGTGCCCACAGCGACCTCAGCTGACCCTCCCCTCGGACTCCCAGGTGCAGGGCCCGGGCTGACTGTAGTCCTGAGTCCAGGAACAGTGGAGCCCGCTTTTCCAGAACAAATCAGAGACCCCACACGCAGCCTGTGGTGAGGGTGTTGTATGAGATCACCTCTTCCTCTGCCCACACCTTCCAGAGGCACCGCCTCGTGGTAATTACATAGAAGGTCCACCCTAACCCGCTTGGCTCAGTGGATAGAGCATCAGCCTGTGGATTGAAAGGTCCCAGGTTCGATTCTGGTCAAGGGCATGTACCTTGGTTGCAGACACATCCCCAGTAGGGGGTGTGCAAGAGGCAGCTGATCAATGTTTCTCTCTCATTGATGTTTCTAACTCTCTATCCCTCTCCTTTCCTCTCTGTAAAAATCAATAAAATATATTAAAAAGAACAACAACAAAAAAATGGAAGGTCCTCCCTGCGCCTGCAGCGAAGACCCTCTCCTGCCCTGCCCTCCCTCTGTTTGAACACATCAAATGTGTGCCACGGGGCACTCTGCGGGGACACTCCTGCCTGGATCGCCCCTGGCTCCTTGATCCCTTCGTCCCGTCAGGTCTGGGCCCAGCGACCTTCTCTGACCCCTTTTGTCATCACAACTTGGAGATGAGGTACCGTTGGGCAGAGGCCAAGGACGCTGCTGAGCACCGTACAATGCATAGGACAGTCCCCATGGCAAAGAACAATTGGGGCCATGGTGTGGTAGCATCAAGGCCGAGAAAGCCTGCTTTACAGTGAGATGAGAGCGGGGTTCCATTGAAACATAGTACCCCCCCATGTTGGGTAAACACTGCAGTTTAAAATTTAACCGTGCTCTTCTGGCTTCTGTAAACGTTTGCTTGCTTAAGTAATAAGGAAAAATGAGGCTACTCCCCATTCCAGAGAGGCCATAAACTGTGCCCCAGACAGAGTTGTCAGGGCTGGCGCCAGGCCAGGCCTTGAGATATGGTCTCACGGCCTGTCCCAGCCCACAGGACTTTTTCTCAGAAGGTCCGGAAGTCTCATTCCAAATTTAGAAAACAAAGTGCTGAAAAACATATAAATAAGGCGGATTTCCAGCCATGTTGGCCTCAGAATTTGAGAAGCAAGATTCTCCTCTGGCCTCACTAGCGCTAGCAAACAGGACTTCAAATAAATTTGGCTTATTGATTAAGGCATCTTCTGATTTACAATATAACACTATACACATTATGTAAGTTAGTCCTCACGGAGTGAGTGAAAGAATAAAAATGTTTAAAAGCTGTCTGTGTTATCTCAACTACCCAAGGTCTCTCTCTGGCTAGTGATGGGAACAGAGCCCTTAGAGCTGTCTCAGGGAACAGCCCCCAAACAAGGAACAAATGGAACAAACATGGCTCTGACAGATAAGAGAAACAGGGCAACAGAGTAAAGAGTGCCTTGGCAATTAAAGGTAACAAGATATCTGAGGGACTAAGCGCAAGCCTGGTCATAAAACAATATGTTAATAACGAGCCCAGCTCCCCTTTGGAATTCCTTTGTTCCCCTCTTCACCCTCCGTGTGTAACCCCTCCCAATATGTGGTTTTTGCCTTTATAAGCTTGTGAGATTTTCTGCTCGGGGCTCGACTCCTCTGCTCCTGCGTGAGTTACGAGTTGAGTTGAGTTGAGCCCCAGCGCGCTGGAATAAAGCCTCTTGCTGTTTGCATCAAGTGACGCCTCCTGCAGTTGATTGGGGTCGCCATCGATCCGTGGGACAGAGTGAGGGTCTTTCTCTGGGGGTCTTTCATGAGGTATTATCATCACGCCCACTTTACAGGTGCGGAAACTGAGGCTCAGAGAGGGGAAGTGACCTGCTCAAGGTGCATAGCTATCAAGTGGCAGAGGAAGCATTTGAAAGTGAGTCTGCTTGACTCCACATCCCAAATGGTCTCCTTCTCTCCCTTTTCCTTGTGACTGACTGCTGGCTTCTTGCTTCAGCAGACGGAGTGCCTGATACAAACCCGCATGCCGACAACCTGTGGTGTGGGGGGCCTGGTGTGATCTTGGTACCACCCACAAGCCTCTGGGACAGTGGGGTCTCTATAGGAATCTCTTTCACGTCCTGCGTGGGAAGAGTTCCAA